AGTCATTTGTATTTGATCACTGAGAGGATGAGTTTTTATCTTTAAAAACAGTAAAATCTTAATAATTTCTTTACAATTGATATTTAAGTGTTTAGAAAAGGATCTTTAACTGAATTGTAATTTTATATGTGTATAGGAGTAGAATTTTAATTTACAGAAAAAGAGACATTTAAAAAAAATAAAAAAAACATTATTTTGAATTTTACTCTAACAGAAAAAAATTATTTTTCTATTAGAAGTGTATCACGCTGGATGTTAGCTTTGCTCTTAAAATGATGCAAGGAAATTTCTGAAATCTATGCTTTTTTATGTTTGAGGAGTTTCCTCTGAATTTCTACAGAAAGGACAAAAACGTTTGTCACACATTTATTTTGCTTGAGACTAGCTGAATACCCGTTCGTTGGATGAAGTGGTAGAAAGTAAGCAATCAATATATCAGTATTGAACAAACAACAAAATCACAAAACGAAACTTAAATACTTATACCAACACAATTAATGCATAAAACTGAATGCTTAAAGATAAAATAATTCAATTTTTTCCATTTTTTAAATTTATTATTTTGTCTTTTGCGGTGGCTTTACGTTATTAAACTAAGCAAAACACGTTTTTAATAAATATTCATTTCATCAAAATAAATACTAGATGTATTTAGAATCATTTAGCATGATACTATTGCTCGAGAACAACTTATGATAGTCAAAATTTACAACAATCAGGCTCAATTTTCTCCGATACTTATTTTTATAGGTACTTATTCTACTTAAGTACCTATTAACGCAAAAAATCCTCTTTTTACCGTATCTATATTAAAGGTTCTCAGTATTGACGCAGTATTAATAAGTATCAGATATTTAGACTCACATTTGTACATTTTGTATCAAAACTGTCCAATTAGAATAATACTAGGAGAGTTTATTACTTAAACTAATAGAGTATCATTGACACTAAAAATAATATGGTGACCTAAACTTTTTTCCTAAACGATTCATTTCTCTGTTAACTTTGTTCAGTAGTTCTCAGAATCTTTAGAGTATTTTTTTTCAATCAAAATTAATTAAGTATCATTGGTCTCAAAATTAGTTTGTCACTATTTTACGCTTCTCTTAAATGGATTCTTGCTATTTTCCCATAGCTTTCCCACTGCTTTTAACATAGCTTATTTTTAGTTCCATTTAGTAATTATTACTAAAATTAGTTAAGCATCAAGAGCCTCAGTAATCATATGGTACGATATTTTATGGTTTCCCCCAAAAAATAAGTACCTTTTCCCCCTAATTTTACCTTCTAGAACATTTTTTAATTAAATTAATACCTATTAACAAATTTAACTAAGCGTTGTTGCCTTCAATGAGAGTATGACAATTTTTTAGGCTTCTCCTACACGAATAAGTATTATTTCTCCATTAATTTTCCTTTCCAATGCAAAATTTTTTTTCAATTACTATTGATTTTAAATTATATAATTTTATAGATTCACTTTTCAGATGTATAATTTTTAACAAACACAAGCTTTCAAATAACTTTAGGAATACTAATTTGGTGAAGTAATTAGGAACAATAATTTGGTACGTTTAAATGACGTAACGAATAAAAAATAATTAAACATTAATGAGCTTGAAAAAAGGTTCATTTTTTAATGGGAGCAATAAGCTAGAAAATATCGTTGATGTAATTTTTAAAATATTTGATAGAAAGAAAATCGTCCACAGTCTATAATTTTTATCGATGGCGAGTTCTAAGGGACTGAAGAAATCTATTTTTAATACGGCTCTATCGAATAAACTAATTGAATATTTCAAACGAATTATTGGATTGGGGGCTAAATTTTCCGCTTGTAGCCGCTGTCTAAGTTTCAGGAATATAGAATAAATGGTTCTAGAGTTGTGAGTGAGATTCCCTACTCACAAACTGTAAGATATTTGTTAATGGTACTTTCAGGATATCAAAATAATCATGCTGTTCAAGAATATTTTTTTGACATTATTGTTATTATTTTTTGTCTATTTTATAAATTAATTCCTTACAGTGAGTTAACACTTTTTTTTCATTATTAGGAGATAATGCAATTTTCCGATATTGTAAATTGTTTAAAAAATAATGTGGATTTGTAAAATAAGGTGGAATATGAAGCTACCAATTACTCGGTCTAAACAGAGACTGGACTTCATTTTATCCGTTTGCTTACAGGCTTGCCAATAATTCAAATTTAATCTAACGGAACAACTCAACTCTAACTATTCCAGAGCTACTAATTACCTTGAAATGATAAACGGGCTATGGATATTATGTAACAAAATGAACTTCAACGCTAAAAAGCTATGCTGTAGCGTTGTAGTTGCCTCGGCAATGAAAAAATAAAAGAATACATATTTTGCCTCTAAACTAAATTTGGATTTTTAGGTAGAGGTAAAGGAGTGTTTTGACTGTATGTTTGAACCATCTTTTAGAGTGAAAAAAGATGAGCCATTTTGTTTGAACGATGTAAATATAATTAAGTATTCGTATCAGTCTTGAAATGGAGTTTGATGGAGTGAAATGTTGAAGTTATATATATATATATATCGAAACCCCCATGTATTAAATGGTGACTGGTGCATGTTAAATCTGTCGGGATCACANAATGTCCGAACATGATTTAAATCTTTTATTGAAAATAAATAAATAATTAAAGTGTATAAGTACCTCTAACACACATAACAGTAACGCGCGTAACTTTTCGTTACGTGTGTTACCTTGAATAAAATTAATTATAAAATTTTAACTATTGGCAGTTTTAATTCGAGAATTTTTTCCGTTGCATATCTTGCCTTCTTAATTTATAAAACAAAAAATTTTTAAATTTTCTTTTTTACTAAAGTTTTTACAGAAAAAAATGCAAAATTATGTTACGTGTGTTACTGGGAAATTAGACTATCTTGATTAATCAACTTTCAAACAAGCAAAAAATTTTAGGCCAAATTAAAAAATTACATTAAACAATGATAAAAGAGTAAAATAGTTATATTTATTACTAAAAACTATTTTATTGCTCTTTAATATTTTAAGAACTCCATTGGAATATAACATAACAAAGAAGAGAACTCCTGTTCAAATTCATAGTGTTCCACTTTTTGTTACAATTCACATAAATATTTTTTGTAATTCAAAAAACTATCTTAACTATTAAAAAATGTACATCTTCTAGATTCCGAAATTGTGTCATTTTTGATTTTACGATAATTTTGAAAATTTATTCACTCAGGACCACTTTTCGTGGAATCGCCCTATAGATATTATGTAACAAAATGAACTTCAACACTAAAAAACTATGCTGCAGTGTTGTAGTTGCCTCGGCAATGAAAAAATAAAAGAAAACATATTTTGCCTCTAAACTAAATTTGGATTTTTATGTAGAGGAAAAAGAGTGTATTGACTGTATGTTTGAACCATCTTTTAGAGTGAAAAAAGATGTGCCATTTTGTTTGAACGATGTAAAAATAATTAAGTATTCGTATCAGTCATGAAATGGAGTTTGATGGAGTGAAATGTTGAAGTTATATATAAATATATAACGAAACCCCCATGTATTAAATGGTGACTGGTGCATGTTAAATCTGTCGGGATCACAATGTCCTCCAAGTTACTATATCAAATCAATCCATCAGGGGAACTGAATAGGAGGTTGATCTGGTTCAGGTCAAAATTATAATCTTTGGATGAATGAATGGATGTTTGAATTCGTCCGCCCTGTAACACGGGATTTAATGAGTGTGTGGATGATCGTATTCTTGGCCATAGTTGGCTCCACTGAAAAATAGAAAGACGCACCCTCAGCCTAAAATTTGCTTGATTTCCCCATCAGGCTTGCTGGCATCGGCATGTGGCAATAGAAGCAACAACAGAAACAGTGTGACATCAATTTGAAAGAGTTCTTTAAAAGATAGTAGGTAAACCCGATACACATCAAAGTTAATGATCTAGTTCAACCTTGTAAAAATTGTTTCAACTCAGAGAACAAGTTCATTTAATTTTTGATTAATAATTTTAACGATTTTGATTAATGACTTAGATATTAAGCATCATTAACTGTCAAGGAATAGCAAGCTGGATTTTAATGTTGTAAAGAGCGGTAATGTGCCTTTGAAATTTATTCTATGCAGTACAAAAATTATTTTAAATGAAATAATATTTGTTTCAAAGTGTTTTTATTATTTTAATTGCTCACAATGGTTTTATTATTTTAATAGAGATGTAAGGAAGGATGAATAAGTGATTACTAAGTACATCTCTAATTTATGAAAATATTAATAGTTTAGGATTTAAATGATACTGGTATTTTTTACCGTCTAAAATGAAAGACAGATCCTTTTTTAAGCGTCATTAATCATATTTTATATTTTAAAGCAAGTATCTCATATCATAAAGTGACTTTGTCCAAAGGTGATTTAGATTAATGCCAATGTGTTGTTTAGATCTAATAAATTTAAATAGAGGAATTATCGAAATGACCTTATATACAGCGGTGAAGTTGGTGATCTAGTTTAGATTTGCCCAGGTCTTGAAATCTTTCAGGCCTTGGAAGTTTGGAACTTGCGACCCCAGAAGAATATTTCTAAATTAGCTTTCTCTTTATAAACAAGACGGCATTTTGACGTGGCAGCTATTAGGCTTAATTTATCAACACTCTGAATTAATTTTTGGATCAAATTTAATTAGGTACTTGCAAGTAACCTCATGCTTGGTTGTTGAATTTAATTGGTGCTAAATTGTGACTTATACTAATGCCTCTATTCAGCAGCTAATCGACATCCACACGTGACGCCTCTTCCAAGCAAAGAATCTAGGTATGTTCATTTCAATTTATATTGTTTCTTGCGTGTACCCAGATGGACTGCGTGGAGATAAAAAAATAGTTTCTTTGTAGCAATATTTATATTTGAAAGTCAGCAATAGCAAGCAAAAGCGACGAAAAATATGATTCAACATAATACTAAATATATTTTATCAACAAACTTGTTTTAAATTCTAAATATTTTAAATACTTTATTTCTGCAGGTAAAAGTAAATTTTTCAACTTGAAATTAAAAATAAACCGGAATGTTTGTAAGAAATTACTGAATGAATAAATTCTGAAGAAAGAAAACATCTCCAAATTACACTACCAAAGTTACCTATTATGGCTGAAACTAATCCGGAGTTACCAAGCTTTCGCGAAGACCCAGATGCAGTTTGGAAACGAACTCTTCAAAACGAAATAAAAGCTGCGAATAATTGGGAAGAGGAATGGAGTTTCCTTATTGAAGAATACAAACAATTACAGAATGAAACAGCAAAAACTTATGTTTTTCCTGTTAAAGAAGAAGAACGGAAAAGCTCAGTGGATTATCCAAAATACCCGAAAACAACTGCTAAAGAGATTGGATGGTTAGCTAGTAATCCTATATATTCATTAGAAAAGTTTGGACGCTATGCTAAACCAATTGGAACAATATACAAAAGATTCGGTTGGCCTATTGAAGGTTGTCCATGAGCTCTAATTCCATCTTTTGCCTGAAAAGAACATTGAAATAAACAAATTATTAATAAACTGCTCCAAATTTATCCTAACCTTGACAGCTTTAAAACAATACATATTAATTGCAAAACCCAGGTTATATTCAATATACTCCGTATATGTCATTTCCGCTTTACCCACATGCATTTATTAGAATCTACATCTGCACCTAGTTGTTCTCTATCTCGTGTTGACATTACTATTAAATATATTTTAATCTGCTGCGAATGATTTAAACATTTGAAGAACAAACTTTTTGGCACCTTTTATCTTGATCTTCAATCTTTGCTTGGCGACCCTATACATCACAATCTTTTAAAGTTTATCAAGACTATAGGAATTTATTCCTTACTTTAAGAAAAAATATATCAGATTGAAATAGATTACAACCTAGTGACTGGCGCAGTATAGCCACTTCTGGCTCTTGCGCCAATAAGCTTCACCCAACCAACCTTCTTTCGTCACAAATGAATTTTTATTTAATTTTTCTAATTTGTTATCTATATGGTAAAATTTTGAAATAATCTGACAATTTTTTGACAAACTCTCGTAATAAGTACACTAGGTGGACATTTATTTGACCGTCATGGACGTTTCAATTTTATTACAATTTAAGAACGCGAAGCATATGGAAAGAACTTACAAATGAAAAACAAGGAGCAGCGATGGCTAAGGGGATAGAGTGTTCCCTTCCAATGAGGTGAACCGGGTTCAAATCCTAGTGATGGCTGGTGGATACGAATTCGCATCCGGCCTGCACCGACCACAGTGCTGACTTGAAATATCCTCAGTGGTAGACGAATCGTGGATTAGAGTCCCTTCGTCGTCAGAGGTTAACCGTGGGTGGTTCTAGTGTATACTCTCCATGTAACGCAAATGCTGGTTAATCCTCCACGACAGCAAATTTCTCTTAATACTTGATCCAGGAGCTCCCTTGTCTTCTAGATTGAGTAAAAAATTACAAGGCTACGGAGTTGAACATTAATAGTCGTAAACCCAAAAATTTAGTCGGCTGTTCAAGGGCGGTTATAAAATGAAAAAAAAGTTTAAACTTTTTTTTTCATTGCACTTCCAAAATTTGCTAAAATTTTGGCGGAGGAAACCTTATCTGGTAACCAATAAACAGATTAATTCCAATTTTATTAATTTTTGAAATATTCTTTGCTCAAAATAAATCACAAGTGTTTGGTAAGAATACAACTGAAATACAAACAGAAATTTGAAAAATCGATTTTAGTTTAAAATTTATATTAACTGATCTTATTGGCATTCAACTTCCTACGAACACAAAAAGCTCTCTGATTGGTTAAAGAAATTTCGCCATGAAGAAAGAGAGAGAAATTGGAATTGAAATGTTAGACTCTCTACTATAAATTAGGCCTTCGCTCTTTAGTTCCAAGCTTCTTCCCTATGTGTGAAGATTTTTCATTTCATTTTTTGTTGATACACTTTTCCCTAGATAGTTAAAGCGAAAAGAATATATATTTGTTTTCAAAATTTCAAAATTAAAAATGAAACACTCTCTGATAGCGAAATACTTTCAAAAACATTTTGACGATACGACTTTGTTAATTATTCACTAATTTATTAATCTTTTTAAGTGGTCTGGAAAATTATCATGAAAATTATTTTTTGGCTCTAAGGTTGCTATGAGCTTTACACTTTAGATAAGTAAGGGAAAATGTTCACCAAGGAAAAAGGTTAAGAACTACTTATTTTATTTTATTTAAATTAATTACACAATTTCTCATGCTTCACAAAGTATAACATGAGATTTACAGGTGTAAGTTAAGGATCCTTGATTTAAGATGTAAGTTAACCCTTTTGAAAGCCGTGGTCAGTATACTTACCACCACTTTTTACCACTTTTAATTTAGGTTTCCATTATTCAATAACTTCAGCTTTCTTGAGGTGAATTTGAATAAAATTGGTAACCATTTGCCACTTTTAAAAAGCGTTTAAAAGTTATAAAATACATAATTCCTTTTAAAGTTTGTAGCATTTAAGGAATTTATTTTATAAATAAAGAAAAATAAAAGTCAGTAAGTTCCTAATAGGTCATGTTAAATATATTTACTGCCAAAAAAATGGCATTTTTATATCAGTTAATCATTTTTATATCAGTTTATAATTTTAATATCAGTTACTGTTCTTAAAACAATTTCAATTCCAAAAATACTTTAATTTATCTTTACTAGAAATAAAGGGCCCATTAAAGGATTAAGGACCGTAAAATTTCAACGCAGGGAATATCGGGATTAAGGACCGTAAAATTTCAACGCAGGGAATATCGGGCAAGTGTATGCCGAAAAAAATGCTCCCAACACTGTTTCTTATTCTTAAAGAGTTTGCCCTAACTTCCCTACACTGATAGTTTCCCTAATCTCTCTCAGTAGTGAAATTCAAAATCATTTCGAAATGGAAAAAATTGCCCCCAAGTTCGAAAATAGAAAATAACTTATGTTTCCTGCTTTTGTCACAGAAAAAATGCATTTCTACATTCTCTACATTTTTCCACTTGTAAAAGAAATAAAATTATCCATTCACGAAGGAGGAGAGTTTCAATTCGATTCTCTCTTTTTAATTGTGATGACGTAATATACTGATACCATAAAAATAATTCCATTTTTTTTTCACTTATTACTATTTCCTGAAACTTTCTGAAACAGAAGTTGATCCCATCAAAATAAAATTAACTATATTCAGTATTGTATGGAAAAATGCTATTTCTCGCTGCCAAATCAAGTAGACATATTTACCGAAATCAAGTAATTTTTTCCAGTGCTAATTCCTTTCCATGAGAAACTCATTTCTACTATACCTATATTAAATCCTTAAATTAGCATATTTGGTAATGTGAATGTAGCATATTTAGTAAACCTCTTGAAACTCTTTTCCATTAATTTTTCTTTTTAGTACTTGAGTGATTTAGGTTTGAATTACTGTTGCTTTTAAATTAATTAGTTTTATTAAAACACGTAACTGAACAGCGTATTTAGTTTGCTTATATCAACCTTTTTGAAGCGTGTATTTTAAAAAAATAAGAAAATTAAAGTAAATGACAAATGAATTTAGATTAAAAACATGTTAGATACTAAAAACCATAATTAAAAAATTGTCAAACTATTGTTCACACCAATGGTGCTTCATTAACTTTATTCATTGAGAATACTGGTATTGTTGTATTTAAAATCCTACCGCGTGATTTTCCGGCCATTAAAAATGCGCCGACAATAATGGAAAACGGTGTCAGACCATTATGATTGGTAGGATCTAGTTTTCCCCCATTCATTTCCATATTCACAGATCACATTTCCAGATCACATTTGGTGAGAATGCTCTCTCTGATTATTTCAGTTTTCGTTTTTAAAAGCGCTATATATTGAGTCATCTCATCTAGATTTGGCATGTGACATTTTTAGCTGCAATCATAGGTCGATTTTCTAGCTTTGCCATTCGGGGAGTTGTAATGAGGCTTTTTTTTTGTCGGCGTGTAAGAGAAATATATATATAGATATATATATGAATAATAATAAATAAAATATATATATAAATAATAATAAATAAAAAATGTATTTGTAGTAATTTTACTTTCATTTATAAAGTTGGTATATGTTCTCAGTTTTGTACACGACTCGTAGTGCTAATAAAAATTAAAAATAGTTATAAAGTAGTGGTTACTTACCATTTTTCTTCCTATGAAGCTAGTAATACTATAAATGTGTAACATTTTTAATTCGGAGTTTTTAGCTGTGAATATTAATCGAAATTCAAAACGTAATAATAACAGAGAATAAAATCAAGAATGAATGATAAATAAACGCAGCATGTAAATACCACTAAAAAGCGATAACTAATTTACAGTCCAATATCATGACAACTTTTACTAGATTTTTTGCCTTTGAAAGCCAAAGATATTCTAATCTTTTCTTTTAATAATGAACATGTTATGCAATTTTCCTTTTTAATTAGAAGGCATGAACAAAAAGACGTCATTTTGCCCTCTTTAGAGACTTAATCAAAGAGAAATATAGATTCAATAATGAGTAAAGAATTTTGGATTAAAGGATGTTGATTTTTTTATCTCAATAAACCACGTGCTTTTAACTGGTAGTAATAAAATTTTTTTTTTAACGGAACCTATTAGTTTCAGAGAAATAAAAATCTAAAAAACTTGAACACTTAAAATTTTTTTTCTCGAGAAATATTAAACAAATTTTGTAAAAATTTGAAAATTGGTTTTTGAAATTAGTAGTCTGACATTAAAGGTTTTGCACCATGTAGCACAATTTTTTTCGTATATTATTATTTTAAAAAATTAAAAACTGGCTAAAATTATTTTTCAAGTCAGAAAATAAGCTGAAGCACATTTCCTTTTAGTGAAAAAACTTTTCTCAATAAAATTTCAGGGTATGTTGCAAAAATTAAGCGTTTCTTTTCCTTTTAAAAAATTGCAGAAAATTCTCTTCCGTTTTTGGAACTTACTATTATTGATTTTTGTTATCAATTGTGAGAATAAAAAAATTATCACTTCGAATTACTAACTAATCCATCAATAATGCCTTCAATAATCCCTAGTTTCTAACGAGGAATTGCTTTTTTGAAGATTTAGGACGTGGTTTCGAAATATCATAATTCCATCAGTTTTAATGTAGTTAATCCTTTCAAAACTCAACTTAATCTTTTCAGCTTAAGAATATTAATAAAAGATTTATACTAACATTACTTTTAAATTCCATTTTGTTAAATATTAAAGTGTAATTAGTTTTCAGTGGTCGAATTAAAATATTAGAATTTAGAAGAAAGTAGTTCCCCAACTTCTGTCTTGTTTAAACGACAAACTTAGCTAATTATGAAAAGCAAACTAAGCAATTATGTAATATATATATATATANTATATATATATATGTGTGTGTTTGTTTGTGTACAATATACAATACCCTTACAAAAGAAAACAAGTAGTTTTGAGCCCCAAA